ACCAGGTGACCACTCGGAGCCTGCTGCGGACTGAATGTGTCGCTCCAAATCCACGAGTTGGACCCCCAGCTCCAATGTGAGGGTGTTAGGAGGTGGGGCCTTTAGGGTCACGAGGTCACGAGGGTGGAGCCCTCCTGGGGGTCGGTGCCCTCGGAGGAAGAGATGCAAGAGCTCGCTCGTCACCATGCGAGGACACGGGAAGAGGCGTCCGCAGCCCTCAGCCTCGGCCTCCGGAACCGTGAGAAATAAATTTCGGTCACCAAGTCACCCAGTCTTGGGTGTTTTCGTTGTCGCCGCCCAGCTGGCCGTGGCAGAGCCTCGCACCCCTCCCCTGACAAGGGCGGGGATCGTACTCCCACCTCCAGGGAGGGCCAGGGCTGGACCCGATGAGCCCATAAGACGCAGCGTCCAGCTCTGAGAGGACGTCCAGGAAACGGCGGGAGGTGCCCGTGTGACCCCGGTGCCCAGCTGGGACGCACCCTCTTCCTCGGTTTCCTGCCGCCTCCCGCGGGTTGCAGTCGAGGGAGAATAATCTGCCCATCCCTGAGCTCCGACTTGCTGGGCCACCAAGACAAGCCCCTTCCTAACTGCGCTTCCTGGGGGTTAATCGCTCCCACCCAGGGGTGGGTTTGTCCCCTGGGGACACCTAGTGACGTCTGGAGACATTTTTAGTTGGTGCACGCACCTGCACCCCCGCCTGCAGTCGCGCTCCTAGACCCCCCATCACCCACAAGCACAGTCTCCCCGCAGTCACAGCACGTGAGAAATCCCAGGTCCCATCGCTGCAGCCTTGCCTGCCACAAGGCCCAGACCCTGGGAAAGGAGCCCAGAAGCCACTGTTCAGACCCAGGACTGTCACCACCCGGGGCACCGGGCCTTCCGACCACCCTGGGAACCTGGGGGAGGGGGCGGGAGTCCTGGGGAGATGAGGGCAGGGGACAGACCAGATTCAGCCGGCTCAGCAGGGCCTCGCAGCCTTTCAGCTCCGGCAGCGTCCAGAGTGCAGACTGGAGCTGGCAGTCAGGTGTCCTGGTGGGTCCTGTTTAAATTATTCACCGAGCCAGCATGCAGGGCAACTTCTCTGGGCAGCAGGGTCCTGCCCAGCCACGCAGCAGCCCCAGTGCCCTAGCTGGGTGCACCAGTCCGTGTCCCCTCTGGGGCCCCCAGCCCTGCCAGGCTGTGCCAGTTCCCCGGGGACACTGTCCTGGCTGTGTGCTCACTCTCGCTGCGCCGCTCCCCGTCCGGCTGCCCACCAGGCTCCCCGAGCTGACGGCCACAGAGGGTCTGCCCAGGCCTCAGCCACAGACAGCTCCGCCCGGTTGCCGTGGGGAGAGGCCCACCCTCGCCGCACCTCCATCTCAGGCCCGGCCTGAGTGCAGCTCCTGGAGCTAGACGAAGCCAGTGGCAGAGGCAGAGCGACCACGGCCACTGCACGCCCCCCCACGCCAAGCATCCTCTCACTTGATACTGAGGATGACCGCCAGGGCAGGTGCTCCCTAGGCAGGTGCTCCCAGGGCGATGCTCCTCCTCCCCAAGGTAGGTGCTCCCCTGGGAAGGTGCCCCCACCTAGCAGGTGCCATCTGACCTTTTGACTGCAGGAAAAACGAGGTGCAGAAACACTCCCTGCTCCATCGCTCCGCGCCAGGCGTCAGAGCTCGGACTTGAACCTGCAGTCTTGCCCCCCACCCTGCTGCCTAGAGCGGAGGCTCACAAAGTGCCACCCACCACCCCAGCATCCTCCAAAACCCTCCAGAAGGCCCTGGCGTCAAAACTGTCTTCACAGCAATGCCAAGGGCCTTGGCTCCCGTTCCTGCTCGTACAGCGTTCTCCAGAGGCCTCAGGGCACGTTTTTGTGCTGCGTGCTTGTGGTGCTTGTGTTTTTAGTATTTCTTGTTAATTTCTAGCGCCAAATGGTGACATGTAGCCTGTACGTGGTCCTGAGACCACAGGTGTGAGGACGCCGGCCTAGACTAACACCTGCCGCTCTGCCTGTAGTGCCCCAGCCCTGTCCCTGACAGGGCACCTCCCTCTCCCCTTCCTCTCTCACACTGGTCTGCGGTCAGTGCCCACCTGCCCCCGAAGCCCCTCCCACCCTGAGTGTGGGCAGCTGCAGGAACTCCCCAGAAGCCAAGGCTGCAACCAGAGCAGACCGTGGGCTGGACACAGGAGAGGCCCCCCCAGAGGTCGGTGGAAAAATCTTGGAGCCCTGATTGCCTGTGCTGCCCCGCCCCCACAGGCAGCGGGAAGCCCAGCCCCACCCCAGACCCCACCAGTGCACTGGGGGTGCAGCGAGGCCCGGAGCTCTGCCGGGCAGGCTTCGCCACCCCACCCCAGGAGGGGAGCCAAAGACTGAGACCCTCCCTGGAGATGTCACCCTCCCAGCCCACACATCTGCTGAGCACTCTGGGGATAGCAGGGGGTGCTCCCAGCCGTCCTCATACCCTCCGGGGCCCTGCCCCAGCTGGAGGGGGCAGTGTGGCTCCGGAACTGACCGCTGCAGGAAGGGTGGGCAGACCCAGGCAGCTGGCTGGCCTCGCCTCACCCACAGCGTCTGGGTGACCTGGGTTCCAAGGAGGCCAGAGTTTGCAGTTGGGGGACCGCTTGGCCCCTCAGAGACTGCCCAAAGGGGGCTTCCTGCGATTCCAGGGGCTGTTTTCCACTCTCACCCGATCTCGGGCTGACAAATTCTCCAGTTTGACCCCAATTCTAACTGGGCCACTCTAGGTCCCAAGCATCAATGTTGGTGCCCCAGGAAAGGCATGGGCTGGGCTGGCAGGTCCATCTGGAAGCCCCTGGTGTCATTAGGTAGGGTCATAGGGTCACCAGATGAACGAGTATCATTGCAGTGTAAATGCGACCCACGTATTTTACACTAAAATTGGTATTTAGCTGAGGTTTGGGTTTGACTGGCATCTGGTATTCTCATGTGCTGACTCGGCTGTCCTCTCCGGAGGCTGCGGTGGCCTGACACCGTCTGCCCAACCCTTCCCACGTGGGCCCGTGGCTGCCAGCACCCCCCTGGGGAACCGAGTTCCCAACCACACCGCGGCCTGGCTCCAGGGGTCTTCCTTGCCCTACTCTCCGGTGGTTTTCGGGCCCCCCGGTTTGGGATTGGGTGGAGACACCAGCAGCTCTTCCAAGGGCTCCTGGGGACGAGGGTGCCATCTCTCCTGGGTGGCGGGACTGCCGTGACACAGACTGCCTCGGTCCACCCTCACCCAGCTCGGTGGGCGCAACGAGCCCCCAGGACATCAGGCCCTTGTTGCTGGAAACTGGGAATGTGACCTCCTGTCGCAAGAAAGCGCTTTGCAGATTCAGGTGAGGACCCGGAGCTGGGGAGATTATCCTGGGCTACACAGACCCTCCTAAGAGGGAGACGACACCCACGGAGGAGGAGCAGCAACGTGACCGCAGAGGCAGAGACCGGAGTGATGCGGCCACAAGCCCAGGAACGCCGCCACCCCTGGGAGCTGGGAGGGGCCGGGAACGGGCCCTCCCCTCCCGCCTCCAGAGGGACGACTCTGCTGACGCCTTGACTTGGGTCGGTGACTGTGATTCTGAATGGCTCCCAGAAGCCATGCTGTTTGTGGTCATTGTCGCAGCAGCCCTAAGACACGAACACGCTAGTCGGCCTGACTGACCCCGCAGGACCCCACAGTCCGGCACCCCCGCAGCTGAGAGGCCTCACCCTCAGCACCGTGCGCACGCCCAGGGTAGTCGGATCACCCCGACCCAACCTTGGTCTGGGCAGGAAGACCAGGCGTGGGCCAGGGGGCTTTCCAGGAGCACAGAGGGGTGCAAAGCAGTGTGCTGCCACCGCCTGCCCTCGCTGGCCATGGTCAGGGCACCGGCTGGCCCAGACGTACGTGGGGCCCTGGTGAAGACTCAAAGCCCCCAGGCCCACTGACCTCCCGACTTCCAAGGGTGAAGACCCTACAGCCCTTGTGCTGAGGACCTGGGCTGGGCAGCAGGAGGGTCGGGCGCTGGCTCCAGCCACAGGTGCCCAGCTTGGGAGGGGGCGCAAGACCAGGCTCCAAGGTCACAGGGACCCCGCAGCCCTAAGAAGAACGTGTGTGTGGGACCATCACTCACGGTGAGCTCTCATCTGGTCCTCAGAGAGACCCCAAAACGCTCACCCCCCGCACTGCGGGTCTGCAGTGGTGCGTCTGTCCCGGGCCGCCGCCGAAAGGCTGCGGAGCGCGGCGCAGAGACCCCCGCGCGCGACCCCCCAGCAGGCGCACACGGCTCTGGGTCGCTCAGTTTATTGGCAAAACGGGCACTGAGCGCGGCGGCGCCGGGAAGCCGGGGCGGGGCCTTTCCTCTTGAAGAACTTCCACTGGACCTTGATGGCGAGCATCCAGTCGCGCACCGGCGGGCCCGGGCAGGCGGAGGTGCAGGCGT